GCAGGAGCTGTGGTAATCAACGCCCAGCCTCACACCACAGCCAGCTCACACGGTACAAACAATTAATCAGGAATGGAAACGATGCCTCTGCTAGCCTGGAGCTCTGGCTGGCGCTGGGTGTCAGCGGCAGCAGTGGCCAAGGGTGCAGGGTGGGATTGCCCTTCACCTTGCCAGCTCCCAGGAGGGTGGGCACACTGTCCAGGCAGCGCAGTCCCCCTCTGGCTCCATCCAATCGAGCCATTAACGAGGTCTCGCTGCTCTGCCAGCCGCCAGCACCATGATGGCTGCAGGCAAAGCTGCTGTCCCACCCTCCCCAGGCCGGGTGACGCTGCCCTGGTGGCACCGAGGGCCCAGATCCCCAGTGGTGGGCAGGGCCACGCCGTGTCCTGCCCTCTGTGCAGCCTGAACCTGAGCCCTCAGCTTCCCCAAGGTGATGGACCAGCTCAGGGACTCTGCAGGCCTGGAGGGGCTTGTGGCCTGATGAACGTGTCCTGGTCAGAGTGTCCTGGTCAGTGTCCTGGTCAGCAGGTCCTGGTGAGTCTGTCCTGGTCAGAGTGTCCTGATCAGCGTGTCCTGGTCAGTGTTCTGCTCAGCACCACAGAAATACATGAATGTAAGAAGTTTACACAGCCCGAGCTGGGGCAGTCGCTGCTCAGCTCAGGGCGTTCAGGTGGCAGGAGCTGTGGTAATCAACGCCAAGCCTCACACCACAGCCAGCTCACACGGTACAAACAATTAATCAGGAATGGAAACGATGCCTCTGCTAGCCTGGAGCTCTGGCTGGCGCTGGGTGTCAGCGGCAGCAGTGGCCAAGGGTGCAGGGTGGGATTGCCCTTCACCTTGCCAGCTCCCAGGAGGGTGGGCACACTGTCCAGGCAGCGCAGTCCCCCTCTGGCTCCATCCAATCGAGCCATTAACGAGGTCTGGCTGCTCTGCCAGCCGCCAGCACCATGATGGCTGCAGGCAAAGCTGCTGTCCCACCCTCCCCAGGCCGGGTGACGCTGCCCTGGTGGCACCGAGGGCTCAGATCCCCAGTGGTGGGCAGGGCCACGCCGTGTCCTGCCCTCTGTGCAGCCTGAACCTGAGCCCTCAGCTTCCCCAAGGTGATGGACCAGCTCAGGGACTCTGCAGGCCTGGAGGGGCTTGTGGCCTGATGAACGTGTCCTGGTCAGAGTGTCCTGGTCAGTGTCCTGGTCAGTGTGTCCTGGTGAGTCTGTCCTGGTCAGCGTGTCCTGATCAGAGTGTCCTGATCAGAGTGTCCTGGTCAGTGTTCTGCTCAGTCTGTTCTGGTCAGTCTGTCCTGAGCAATGTGTCCCAATCAGAGTGTCCTGGTCAGTCTGTCCTGGTCAGTGTGTCCTGACTGATGTGTCCTGGTCAGCATGTCCTTACCAATGCCACCTGCTGGTTTCCCACTGCCAAGCCCGAGCAGACGAGAGCTGGGTCTCTGCCCGGGTCCGTGCCCGGCTCTGTGTCCGTGTCTGTGCCGTGTCTGTGCCAGGACCCCGGTGCCATCCCCGGCTGTGCCCTCGGTCCCCGCTGGGATCCTGGAGCCGGGACATTCCTTCTGCTCCGGCGGGATCGCGGCTCCGCAGAGCTGCCCCGGCGCGGGGGGAGGTGCTGGAGCGCGGTGACCCCCAGGATCGGGGCAGGGGTGCTGTCAGGGGCCTCACCTGGACCGTCCCACACGGAGCACAGGGCCCTGCCCACCGGCCCGCCGGGGCTGGGGGTCTCCCCAACCCCCGTTAGCTGCCCCGGCACCCCGTTAGTCTCAGGGGTCCCCGAGATGGAGCTGTGGGGCAGCTCTGAGGCTGAGCTTGGTTAGCTGGGATCAGGAGGTCTTGGGATGTCAGGGTGTCTCTGTGCAGCCCCAGGACCGGACAGAGGCTCCAGCGAGGCGTCCCGGGAGCGATGCTGTCCCGCTGTGTCCCTGCCCCTTCCCCACACAGCGATGCTGTCCCGAGGAGCGATGCTGTCCCGCTGTGCCCCTGCCCCGATGCTGTCCCGCTGTGTCCCTGCCCCTTCCCCACACAGCGATGCTGTCCCGCTGTGCTCCTGCCCCGATGCTGTCCCGCTGTGCCCCTGCCCCGAGTCATACACAAAGGTGTGTTATACACACAGGTGTCACGCACACACACACACAGAGGTGTCAAACACAGGAGTCACACACAGGTGTCACGCACCCACACACACAGAGGTGTCACACAGGTGTCACACACAGGAGTTGCACACAGGTGTCACACACAGGAGTTGCACACAGGTGTCACACACAGGAGTTGCACACAGGTGTCACACACAGGAGTTGCACACAGGTGTCACACACAGGTGTGTCATACACACAGGTGTATCACACACACATAGGTGTCACACACAGGAGTTGCACACAGGTGTCACACACACACAGGTGTGTCATACACACAGGTGTCACTCACACACAAGTGTGTCACACACACACATATATACACAGAGGTGTCACACACACCTGTGTCACACACACAGCTGTCTCACACACCTGCACACACACTCTCCCCTCATTTCACACTTGCACTCCCCCCCTTGGTGGCCCCCGTGTCACTTGCCCCTCCCCCAGCTCATCCTCTTTGTCCCCAAAGCGGATTATGGCGGCGGCTCAGCGGGGACACGCGAGTGTGCAAGGAGGGGCCACGCCCCCGCCAGCCTCACACGGGGCCTCAGGTGTGCCCGGGGGTGTCACACCCCTCCAGGTGTGCCCGGGGGTGTCACACCCCTGCCAGGTGTGCCCGGGGGGGGTGTGACACCCCTCACAGGTGTGCACAGGGGGGGTCAGTCACACTCCTGCCAGGTGTGTGCCCAGGGGTGTCACACCCCTGCCAGGTGTGCCCGGGGGTGTGACACCCTTCACAGGTGTGCACAGCGGGGGTCAGTCACACTCCTGCCAGGTGTGCCCGGGGGTGTCACACCCTGCCAGGTATGCACAGGGGGTGTCACACCCCTGCCAGGGATGCACAGGGGGTGTCACACCCCTCCAGGTGTGCCCGGGGGGTGTCACACCCCTCACATGTGTGCACAGGGGGGGTCAGTCACACTCCTGCCAGGTGTGCCCGGGGGTGTCACACCCCTCCAGGTGTGCACAGGGGGTGTCACAGCCCTCCCGGGTGTGCAGGGAGGGTCACACCCCCTCCCTGGGCCCACACCTGTGCAGGCAGCACGGTCAGGTCATGCACAGCCCAGCAGGCAGGCAGGGCAGGAACTGGGGCAGGGGATGGCCCAGGTGGGCAGGAGAAGGCTCAGGTGGGCAGGAAATGGCCCAGGTGCTCAGGGGATGGCCCAGGTTCTATGGGAATGGCCCAGGTGGGCAGGGGATGGCCCAGGTGGGCAGGGAATGGCCCAGGTGGGCAGGGGACAGCCCAGGTGCTATAGGAATGGCCCAGGTGGGCAGGGGAAGCCCCAGGCAGAGCCCTCGGGCAGGAGGCAGACGTGGTGCAGGCAGGTGACAGGGGATGCTCCCAGGCAGCACGGACAGGTGACATCTCCTAAATGCAGGCAGGGACTGGGGCACGCAGGTGACCCCCGGGCACGGCAGGTGGGGCAGGTGGGCTCAGGGCTCGGGGCAGCAGGGGCTGAGGGCAGGGCAGGAGATGCCCAGGCAGGTGCCAGCAGGTGATACCCGGGTGTTGGAACCCTGGCTGCTGAGAGTTTTAAACTTCCTGTGCTGACGGGCACTGACCCCCAGGAGAACACTGACCTGAGACCCCACCCCCATGAAAAAGAAGCAAAGACTCCACACCCAGGAGGTGCAGGAGAGAGCAGGTGATGCCTGGGTGATACAGGTGATGCCCAGGTGATGCCAGGGCTGGGCAGGTGATGCCCGGGTGATGCCCACGTGGTGCCCAGATGGGGCAAATCCTGCCCGGGCGGTGCCCAGGTGATACCCAGGAGGTGCCCAGGTGATGCCCAGATGGGGCAGATCCTGCCCGGGAGGTGCCCGGGCAGTGCCAAGGCTGGGCAGGTGGTGCAGGTGATGCTCAGGAAGGAGAGGTGATGCCCAGGTGCTGCAGGTGATACCCGGGTGATGCCCAGGTGTTGCCCAGGGGGTGTCCCAAGCAGGGCAGGTGATGCCCGGGTGATGCCCAGGCGGGGCAACCCAGGAGGTGCCCAAGTGATGCCCAGGGGGTGCCCAGGTGATGCCCAGGCGGGGCAGATCCTGCCCGGGCGGTGCCGGTGATGCCCCGGCAGGACAGATGATGCCCGGGTGATGCCCGGGTGTTGCCGAGGGGGTGTCCCAAGCCGGGCAGGTGGTGCAGGTGATGCCCGGGTGATGCCCAGGCGGGGCAGATCCTGCCCGGAGGTGCCCGGGCAGTGCCCAGGCCGGGCCGCGCCCGGTCCCCGCCGCCGGTGCCGGGTCAGCCCCGCCCCCGGGGGGGCTCCTGGGGTCGGGGGGCGCCCCGGACACGGGGGGTCTCTGCCGGGGGTGGCACACGGGCGGGGGGACAGCCGGGGACCGCAGGGTGGGAAGGGGAGCCCCCCGACCCCTCCTGTGCCCCCCAGCAGGGAGGGGGCGCTGGGGGAACAGCGCGGGGGACCCCGCACGGCGGTGCCGGGGTGGCTGGGGTGGCAGACGGGGAGCGCCCCCCCTTCCCCGCCCTAATTACCTGCCGCTAATTGGGGGGGGGGGCGCCATATGGCTGCCACTGCCGAGCGCGGGGAGCGCCGAGGGTCCCCCCGCAGACCCCCGGGCAGGGGCACAGCGCGGGGCCTCTGGGGGCGACACCAGTGGGATTGGTCGGGGGGACGCGGGGAGAACTCCCGGGGGACACGGAAGGGGGACACGGCTGTCACACAGGGCGAGGGGCCGGCCTGGGCCGGGCGGGGACAGGGACACCCCGGGGACACGCACCGGGGACAGGGACAGCACCCTGGGGTCCTGGAGAAGGGGACCCTGGAGCGGTGACAGCGCTGGGGACCCCCGGAGAGGGGAGCTGGCAGGGGGACAGGGATGAGGACACGGCACGGGGACCCGGGAAAGGGGACCTCGGGGTGGTGTCCGTGCTGTCCGGGGCTGTCCGGCCGGGGGGACACTGCGGAGCGGGCTGGGGACAGGGCCGCGGGGCCGGGGGTGGCAGCCCCGCTCCTCCCTCCCCCGCCGCAGGCGCCCCCCGAGGTCCCCGTGTCCCCATGGCGGCCGCGTCCTGCCCGGCGCTCCTGGCCGCCTGCCTGGCGCTGCACCTGGCCACAGGTGAGCACCCGGGGGACAGGGGACACCTCAGGGGGACACCGCGGCTGGGGGGGACCCGGGGAGGGGCAGCCAGGGGCGATGGGGACCCAAGGGATGAGGTCACCAGGGAATGGGGACTTGGGGACATGGAAAAGGAACCCTGGGAGTACCAACCGTGAGAGGTGGGACCCCAGGGCACGGGGACACAGAGGACCTTGGGGGGACCCAAAGATGTCACCCGGGTGCAGGACCACTGGGGCTGACAGCCCACTGGTCTCCTGGGACGGAGAATTGGGGCTGGGGGCCCTGGGGGACACACAGCGACCGTGCTGGGGGTCCAGGGAGTGGGACTTGGCTGCTGGGGACACGGCGGGACTGAGGGGGAGGTGGCAATGCAGGTGGAGCTGTTGGGCTGGGGACACGGGGACCCTGGGCGGGGACACGAGGGACCCTGGGGGGTCAGCGGGAACGGGCTGGGGAGGAGGCCCTGGAGGGGGGGGCAGGGAGTGGGACCTGGGGACCCCACGGACACCCGTGTGCCCATCCCCACGGCACCGGCAGCCCGGGGCGACGGCTGCAGCGGCTTCGGGAACCTGTTCACGGAGATCGCGGAGAACAGCGCCCACGGCAGCCTGGTGGCGCGGCTGCCCCCGCCGGGGGACGCGGGGGGCGCGGGGGGCGGCCTCCAGCTCTGCCTGGTGGGCGCCGACGCCGCCTGGTTCTACCTGGACGGGCGCAGCGTCCGCCTCAACGTCTCGGCCGGGAGGGCGCTGGACCGTGAGGTGACACCGCGGGGACACCCCGGGGCCTGTCCCGCTCCCGCCGTCCTGTGTCTGTCCGTGTCCGTCCGTGTCCGTCCTGCGTCCATCCTGTGTCCACTGTCCATCCTGAACCCACCCACCCTGAGTCCATCCTCCACCCGTGTCCATCTACATCCACCGTCCATCCATCTGTCCATCCATCCTGCATCCTTCCGTGTCCATTCTACATTCATCCCGTGTCCGTCCCTGTGCCCATCTCGTGTTTTTCACTTGTGCCCATCCCTCTATTCTCCATCCATCCTGTGCCCATCTTCCATTCATCCTGTGTCCATCCTATGTCCATCCTTCCATTCTCCATCCATCCTGTGTCCGTCCCTCCATCCCTCACCCATCTATGTCTATCCTGTGTCTGTCATCCATACTCCTTCTATCCTGGGTCTACCATCACCTGTCCATGTTCTGTTGTCCTCCTTCTTCTGCCCATCCTGTATCCATCCTCCGTCCATCCCATACTCCTCCTGTGTCCATCCCTTGTCCATTCCATGTCCATCCCATCTCCACCCCATGTCCACCCTATGTCCATCCCATTCCATCCCTTCACGCTCCCTCCGTGCATTGTCCCCCCACCCTGCCATACCCCCTCCTGCTGGGCCCCTGCTGGCCCTGCTTGGCATGTCCCAGCCTGTCCCTGCTTGGCATGTCCCAGCCTGTCCCCGTGGGGCAGCCCCGTGTCACCCCTCGCGCCGCTGTCCCTTGTCCCCGCAGGAGCTGGAGTCCCCGGTGCTGATGGTGGCCCTGACGTGTGCCGAGGACGGCTCCTCCCCGGTACGGCCTCGCACGGTGGGGACCCCGGGGGGCTCAGGGCCAGCCCCACCCTGGTCACTCGCTGTGTGCCTCCCCTCGGCCCCGGCAGGTCGAGTTCCGGATCATCGTCCAGGTCCTCAACGAGAACGACAACCGGCCCCACTTCCAGGGGGCCACCGTCCTCACGCACAACGTCAGCGAGGTGACAGCACTGCCCCGGCTGGGACAGGGGGGTGGCACGTCCTGCACGTGGTCACGGCGATGGGGCAGGGGTGGGCACCAGGACAGGGCTGGCCGTGAGCATGGACTGGGGACAGGCATGGGGACAGGGACAGGCATGGGGACAGGGACAGGGATGGCAGTGAGCATGGACTGGGGACAGGGACGGGGACAGGGATGGGGACAGGGAGGGGGACAGGGACGGGGACAGGGATGGGGACAGGAATAGGGATGGCCGTGAGCATGGGTGGGGACAGGGACGGGGACAGGGATGGGGACAGTGACAGGGATGGCCGTGAGCAAGGACTGGGGACAGGCATGGTGACACACATGGTGACAGGGATGGGGACAGGGATGGCCATGAGTATGGACTGGGGACACGGATGGGGACAGGATGGGGACAGGACAGTTTGTGCCAGGGTGGGTGCCCAGAAGGGACGGGGACACCCACAAGCAGGAATGGGGGTATTGGGTGTGTTCATGAGTGCTGGGCCGTGAGCATGGACTGGGGACACGGATGAGGACAGGGATGGGAACAGGGACAGTTTGTGCCAGGGTGGGTGCCCAGAAGGGACGGGGACACCCACAAGCAGGAATGGGGGTATTGGGTGTGTTCATGAGTGCTGGGGGTGTTGGGGGCCCCCTGGTGATCCCCACGAGGCAGCTCAGGGGTGTTTGGAGTGCAGGGCATGTTCAGGAACCCTGGGTGCGTTTGGGGACCACAGGGGCTGTTTGAGGGTGTGGGGTCTGTTTAGGGAGTACGGGGTGTTGGGTGACCCCAGGGATGTCGGTGACCCTGGGGGGGGGTGTTGGTAACCCTGGGGGCTGTTGGGTGTCCCCAGGGGGTGTTGGGTGTCCCCAGGATGTGTTGGGTGACCCTGGGGGGTGTTGGTGACCCTGGGATGTGCTGGGTGACCCCGGAGGGATGTCGGTGACCCTGGTGGGTGTCAGTGCCCCCGAGGGGTGTCGGTGACCCTGGTGGGTGTTGGGTGACCCGGGGGGGGTGTCGGTGCCCCCGGGGGTCGGTGCCCCCGCGGTGCCCCGGGCCCCTGGTGACGGCCGCGGGCAGCTGGCGCCGGTGCACTCGGTGGTGTTCAGCGCCCAGGCGGAGGACGCGGACGGGGACACGCTCATGTACGTCATCGACACGGCCTCGGTGAGCCGGGGCGGGGGCGGGGGGCGGCGG